CCCACAGAGGAGCGCTGCACGTGAGCCCGGACCCTCGGGCATCCCACTGGGATGGAGCTGATCCTGAGGAGGGAGAGCTGGAGGGAGTGGACGTGTGACCTTCCTCCCCATTGCCAGTGACGGTCTGCGCAGAGTTTGCTCCTGCTGCTGCCCGGCTCTGGCTGGAAGCAATTAAGCAATTGCTGTTTCATTTTTTCAAGGCACCCGCCACTGATATTGCCAGACCCTGCACTCCTACCCCTCTCCTCAAGGAGAACCAAAAGGATAGTTTATCACCTGAATTTCTTGCTTAACTGTTTTTTCTTTTTTTCTTCTTTGAATGACAGCTGAGCAGAAGCACTTTTGGTTTCTGGAGTTAGATATTCTCCCACATCTCCTGCAAACAGGACGAGCTTTCCTCCAACTTTGCAAACAGAAAGGCAGAGGCAAAGCAGGTGAACCACCAGCCCCATCTGCGTGGGGCTAGCAATGATGCAGGGTTAGTGCCGCTGTGGGCTAAAGAGGGGTGCACGGGCACAGGAACAGGCCCCCTGGGAAAGGTGTTCTCCTAGCATGAAGGTGCTTTATATCAGCATTGTTTATTCCTCTCCCCATGTGGGAACAAGCTCCCCCCATGCATTTTAGCTTCATGCATGGAGGATTGCTCCTAAGCGGAGCAGTGACGGTAGCGGGGACCTAAGCCAACATGTGGGGCCACATCTCCAAGGTGCTGAGACTTTGGCTCTATCCAACAAATTCCAGAGGAGAAGCCACAGAGGCACAGCAAGAGCCACGGGGCTACTTGGTCACCCAGGGCACACTGCTGCACTGTGAGGGGACACGGTCCCAGCACCAGCGGCATCCACGTGTCGCTTGGGCTTGTCCTGCACTTCCCTGTCTGCTTCCGAGAGCGCTGTGTTTTTGGAAAGGCTGCCTGGAAACCTTTGCGTGCCTCAGTTTCCCCTGGGGAGCTAGCTGTCTGCCTCGCACGGGAAGCCTGGCAGGGTGGCAGCAAACAGTGGCCTGCCCCAGGCCAAGAGACACACACGTGTCTTCTCAGGAGGCTCTAGACCACAACGCCTGCTTGCAAAGCACTGTGAGGTGCATGGGCAGGAAGAAGGCTCCCAGGAACAAGGGACTACTCTCCATCCCCAGAGCATACAGGACAAAGCAGCTCCCTATGAAAAAGGCAGAAAAAGGCCTGAAAATCCTGAAGACCCACCGCATCATTCATATCCTGGGTCCCTTGCCATGCTGCACCCTGTAGCAGCAGGGGCCTGGGCACCCAGCGGCGTGGGCTGAGCCTTGCTGCCTGCCCCAGCAAAGCTCAGTTGGGTTTGCTTTGCACAGCCCTGCTGTCTCCAGCCCCCGGGCTGTTTTCTTGTGGGGGCACCGAGCGCGGTGACCTCTCACCGGGTGCAGGGGCTGTTATCAATAACAGGAAACGAACTTGTCAGGAGGGGCAGGAGGGAGAGAGAGACCCAGAAAGAGAGGAAGCGGTTAGAAAGTAGTCACTTCCATTTTTGCTGCGAGAGTGCCTGCGCCCACGCGCCACTGGGCGCAGGGGAAGCAGTGCTGGCTTTCTGCAGGCTTATCTGGTCTGGGATCGGCAGCGAGTTTTTCACGAAGAGTGCACAGATCCCCTCCTAGCCTGTAATAACACCTAGAATAAAGATAGTAAACCAGGGATGGTTAAAAATAGCCCGCTCTCAGCCAACGTCCGGTGCAGAAATAGGTGCAGCAAGTCAAACAGTTGCTGAGTTTGTCACTCCACGGGGGCTAAGTTTCTTAACCTCACTAAAAACAGCCCATGAGTGTGATGCTGGCTGTACCATCTGGCCCCAGCACAGGATGGACCTGTGGATGCAGCTACCTGGGGCCAAAGGGCCTTGCTGCTGCGTGGCGCAGGTCAGGGAGGATGTGCCAGCAGCTCTGGGTCGAGTCTTGGAGGTGGGGATGAGCTGGGGTTGTCTGAAAGACCAGTGGTACAGGGTGAAGCCAACCCAAGAGCCTGGCTCCTCCAGTTCCCAGCTGCAGGAGTGTCGGCTGCTGCTGCTGGACAGGAGGCATCTTTTCTCCGTGCAGATACTTGCATAACTCACCCCAACGTCCTCTTCCTCTTTTCTTGGGCAAACTGTAGAGCTGAGGCCTGCCGGATCTCTTAATGAAAGCCATGTTTTCCAGAGCTTTCCATGCTGTTTTCCTGCACTCTCTTAAAGTATCTTTTTAAGGTGAGAGATCCCACAGAAAAGCTTTGCTACACCCTGCAAATGGGAATCCACTGCCATATCTCTATTATACAGCACCCTGCAAGATCCCCCTTGAGCACAGAGAGAGATTCACCCTTCTCACCCTGAATCCCACCGAGACAATCCTGTCTTAGCACAGCAGGGCATGTCCTACAGACAGGACCTGCACCCGGGCAGCCAGGATCATGTGAGATACATTGCATGTGCAAATGAGACAAATTCTCTAAATTCAAGTCCTTGACCCTGTAGTTTGGCACTAGGCTGCCAGCACCCATGCCTGGCTGATGGTGCACGCGTTGATCTGCTCCCAAAGGAAGGTTCTTGAGTTGTGGTGCATCTTGCAAGAGTCAGAGCCCCGTGACAGCCACAGCAGGTCCCATCTCTCCAGCCAGAGGAGAGACTCACCATAGATGTGCCGAGGCAGCCAGAGGGCAGCAATGCAGAGACGACGGGGATCCGCACAGTGCAGCTCCTCCAGCACGCAGCCAGCCGCCCGCTGAGGCAGGGCCATGCGTGCGTGTGAGTATGTGGGCCTGTCTGCTCTTGAAAGCTGTTTTGGATAGTGCTCTCTGGCCTCAGAAAATCAGGAAGCTGCCACGCTGGGCTGTGCATTGCTCCTGCTGAGCAATGCCTCCCGAGTCCCCTTGGTCTCGCTGCAGCCGTGCGGCCATAGGTTTGAGCCACAGGAGCTCGCAGCACACAGGGTCTATTTTATCCCGGCTCCAGGTATCAGAAATATTCCTGTTGGCTCACTGTGGGGAAGCCATGGTGCTGGAAGCCACAAATGCCCCAGATCCGGAGGAAAAGCTAAGAAACTGCAAGCTTTTTAGGTTTTTTTTCTTCTGCTGTTGGGGTCAAGGGGTGTCCCCAGATGCTCTGGGGCAGGGGACAACTTTCCTGCCAGCAAGTGCAGGTAGCGGAGGATGGAGCCATGGGGCTTTCATCACTGGAGGGTAAATCAGGGCAGCAGCTGGTGGCATCAGAGCCCCTGACGCAGCACAGGTGTTGGGCTTTTTGCCCTTTAAAGCCTCACCTTGCCAGCACTGGATGAGCTGCAGCGGCAGACAGCAGGACCCTCCATCACCTGGGGCTGCCAAACACCCTTCCCCTGCTCCCGCCCAGCGTGGGCACGGAGTCAAGCCATGGGGCTGGATCAGGGCAGTGTTTGCAGTAACCCTGAACAAGGCACTGGGTCTGCCACCACACGGGAGAGCAGCAGGTCATGGCCGTGGTGCCTGGTGGGCAGGTCACTGCGCAGCGCTACAGTTCCTGGTCCACCAGCCCATCCTTCTCCACCCACAACTCACCTCTGGTTTATGGGGGACATTGCACCCTATGAACAAGGGCTGCTGGACTGTGTGTGCATTTTGGGAAAGGGTGTGCCCCTCTAATGCAAAGCCTGCATGCGGTGCTGGGGCCCAGGTCTGTGATACCAGGATAGGGCAGGAGGGATCCGTTCTGCTGGCGAGTGGGGGAGAGGATGGGGAAGCACTGTCTGAACACCCACGGGGCTGTGGAGAGGGGTGCAAAGCCAGTGAGCTCTGCTCTCAGCTGGGGCAGGTCACCCCCACCCTGCCATGCCACCAGCCAGCCTGGCACCATGACACCACAGCAGAACATGTCCCACTTGGTGGGCATCACCCCTGCCGGGGGGCATCTCCACCTTCTCTCACAGCCCCCCAAGCAGCTGTGCCTGCCCCTCTTCTGTGGGTCTCCTGAGCCTCTCCCCAGACATGAGAGTCACCAGCGAGGCCACCTCAGCTGGACTTCGGGGTCACTCCACTTTGGGGAGCTGGAGTCCAGCCAGGGGGACCCTGCAGAGCTCAGATGCAGCAGCCTGCAGGCACGTGCTGAGCAGGGGCCCTGCTGCCTGCTCCTGCCAGGGAGGAGATGCTGTGTGTTGGGCCGCATCCTGCAGCACTGGCTGGGTCTGGGCCCAAGGGTGCTGACAGGACCCCTCTGTGTCTGCCTATTTCTCCATTCCTGCAAGGGCCTGGTTTATGTTTCTGTCACGGTCAGCGTGTAAGGATCCAGGATGGACCCTGAGGAGGTCCAGATGGATCCTGTCTTCCACGAGGAGCCAGGACTGATTCAAGCAGTGACAGCCGCCCTGTGTGTCAGCGTCCTCTCTGCCTGCCTCTTCTCCATGGGTCAGACAGTCCCCAGGGGCTGACACTTACAGGCTGGCTTTCAGGGCAGACTCTCTGCCAACAGTCTCTTTTTAATAATGCTCAGCAAAGGAGGGAAGAGATGATGTTGATCAACTGGGAAAATATCTGTGTTTCCCTGGAGACCTGGTGGGATGGTCCCACCGCCCCAGCTCCTGGTACCGTCCAGGACAGAGGGGAGGTCAGTGACAGGCAGGGGAAGAAGCAGGAGAAGCTGGGCAGGGGGCTCTGGGCTGGGGCAGAGGAGCGGGAGGGGGGGCTGGGGGGGCGCAGAGGAGCGGCAACGGGTGCTGGGTGGGCAGCACCACCAGGTAGGGTGACCTTACCTGTGTGCACAGCCGCAGACAGTCTCTGGGGGAGAAAGGATGGACCCAAGGCTGGAATGACACCGAAATTGTACAGGGCTCTTCTCAGGACGCCAACACACAGCTGGAGTGCAGGGCTTGGCCTGGGAGGAGCAGGGGTGATGGAGATGGAGACACTCGCTCCACACTCCTGGGAAATATAGCAGCGGTGTGCCAGAGGGTATCCTGCCCTTGTCCCCTGCCTTCAGCAGCATCCTGCCTGAACTGCAGCACGGAGCCGTTCCTGCTCACGGCAGAGTCTGTCGGAGCAGCGCTGAGCCCAGGAGCTCCCGTGCTCCCCGCACAGGGCTGAGCGTGTCGAGCAGGTGGCCATGCATGTGATGAGTTTGTCAGGCTATGGAGAGCTGTCCATAAGAAATACCAGCCAGGCTGCGTAAACAAGCGGTGTCCAGCCTGTTTTGACCTAGGTGAGACCACACGTTCATGGATACTTTCAGCCCAGAGGGGAAGAGAATAACACTGTATCCTGCTGCAGGTCTCCAGTAAAGGTCACAGCCGGTCCTAGAGCCAATCTTTTGTGACCTCTTTCTCTGCCAGATGTCAAGCAGGAGGAACTTGCCTCCCCGGTGAGGGTCTGCTCTGCGACCAGGCTCTGCGCGGATAAGTCCTCTGCCCCAGTGGTGCTGGAAGAGCTGCTTAGAAAACAGGAAACCACTGGACCAGGAAAATGCAGTGAAACATTCCCTTATTCTGCAATGTTTGTTGTTTTAGGCTCTCCCAGCCAAGCAGCTCAAGCCGAACGGCAGCCCGGCTGATCCCCCCGAGCCTTGTGGGGCAGTCCCTCCAGGCCCCTGCAGCCAGCCCAGCCCAGCTGCACCACCCACAGGAGAAGCAGGACAGCGTGGCTTCACAGCCCAGATGCCAAACTCGCTGCTAATGACAGCCCAGGGAGGGATGAGGAGGCTCAGAAAAGCTTGATGTGTCCCCGTTACCAGCCTGCCGCCTGCTCTCCCTCCCTCCCCTCCAGCAGCAGAGCACCTCTGCTTCCCGGTGCATGGATGGTAAACTGAGGCAGGGAGGGTGTGTCCCAGCTCAGAGGTGAAAATAGCTTCTGCCACTGCTTTGGGTAGGGACCAGCTCTCCAAGTCTGGCATCTGGGAAGGTCTCCAAGCCCCACAGACCCTCCATGCCCCCAAACCCTCAAGCCAGGATGTTCAACTCCATGGGCATGTCATCAGGGACCCCCAGACAGGCACGGCTGAGCTCCAGGTCACTCTGTAAGACCCAATGAATGGTGCCACCATCCCAAGTCAAGCAGCAGAGGCTGCGGCTGAAAGGACAGAAATCTGGAGCAGAACTCAAGAGGCAGCGGTGGAGGGGGCTGACCCTGCATCCCCCTGCGACCGCCTCACCCCTGCTCCAGAACTGCAGCACCCGCCTGGTGAGGCCAAGCTTGTGCCAGCAAAGCCTTTAGCAATCGCCAGCCATGAGACTCGTACCCGTGGCCAAGACGTGTCCCAGGAAGCAGCTTCCGCTGCAATGGGTGAATGCCACCTACAGCAGCGCCCCAGGGAGCAGCCAGGCTGCAGCTGTGCCAGCCCCAAACGTGCCTCAGCCTGGGGAGGGTGGTCTTGGGGGAGCCTGCAGCTGAGCTGGAGGGAGTAGAGCCAGGGTGGGGGTCCCCCAGCCGCTCCTGTGAAGCAGCAGAGCTGCCTTCTTTTGGGGGCTGGACACAGAAAGCAGCAGGCGCCACTGACAGCCAAAGAGACGGGCTTGTGTTGTGTTTGGCTCCGGGTGCTGCGGGAGATGCCAGGGAGAAGCCAAGGAGCTGCAGAAGCAGGCGCTGCCAAGGCTGCAGACGTGCTGCGGGGAGGGGAGCACCCCTTGGTGCCATGCCGCGGTGGCCCGGGACCGCCACGGTGCAAGGAGAACCACAGGCAGTCTCTCTGCTGAAGGACCAGCTCTGCCCTTGCACACCCCCATCCTGCACCCGTCCCCCTGCCCTGGGACACTCCAAAGTGTCACAGCTATGGGGACATGTGTGAAAAGCCCCGGCCGGCGCAGCCTGCCAGGGTCCAGTGCTTGCAGGGCAAGCCGGTCGGCAGCTCGGTACGGCGGCGGCGTTGGTGTTGCTGCAGGCAGCAGTCTGCTTGCAGGGGACGTGGGAGAGGGAAAGCAGCCAGGCAGCAAGATGGGACAATGCCCTGCCTTCTCCCTGAGCTGCCAGGCAGGCCTCCCGCCCCGGGGACATGGAGGATGGGCAGGCCTTGTGTTTACTACTCCAAAAAAGAGACCTTCCTCCTGAAAACAAAACCTTTTGTGTGCAAATGCAGCCATCTGGCAGGTTTGTTTTTATACAGGAAACTTTGAACCAGAGGGCCGTGGCTGGTTTCATTTTGAGGTGAGTTTTTCAGTTCATGGCAGTATTTGGAAACTGAGCCGCTTTCCAAATTTGGAGGCTGTGTTTTCACGCAGCTGCTGAGCATGGCAGAAGTGTCCAGGGCTTTCTCCTCTCCCTGCAGCGCAGGCAGGCTGGTTTGGACTGAGCCAGCATTGCCTTCCCTCTCCCTTTTCTCTGCAGAGAGCTTTGCCCAGTTGGGGGGAATGGGGGGGGGATCCACCGGCAGGGATGGGTGCCTGTGGTGGGAAGGCTGAGACCTGGAGTGGCAGCTGAAACACTTGGGACCCTTGTGGGACGGGAAAGGGTCAGATGCAGAAGTCCCCCTCCATGCCCTGCACAGCGGATGTGGGAACCCGCTGCTCCCACATGGGGCTAAGCCGGGCTAATCCTGCCAGCCGCTTGCGAGGACACCAGAAATGTGAACTCCAGGCCTTGTTTTTAGCTGAGACTGCAGGAGACGAGTCCTCACGCTTGCTGACATGGCCATTGCACCTCCTCCTGCCGCATCCATCAAGATGGGAGAGGGGATGCCTTGGACCTGCTCCCATGGTCCCGGCTTTCCTCCGAACCCACTGGCAAGACCCCTCTCCTTACCCCCAGGGACCAGCTGGCCACCCACTCACCAGGGTGAGGATAAGTGCCATCCTGGACAAGCTCTTGGGATGCTCTGCGCCTCCTGAGCCAACTCACCAGCTCCTCTCCACCTCCCCCTTGATGTGGGGCTGAGAAGGACCGGGATGTTCTCACTCCAGGATGGTGGCTGGTCTGATGGGGCTCAGGGCAGCAAAGCCTTTAGCAATCACAGTCCACAGACACCTTCAGGGCTGAAGCGTGAGTCTGGGCATCTGCACTGGTTCCATCATGGCCTCAGGGCCCTCCCTGCCTCCCTTTGCAACGGCAGCATGAAGGGATGCTCACCGTCTCCAAGGGTCCCATCACAGGGTGCCCCCAGCACCAGGGCTGGCTCCGCAGCGCGTGGTGCAAACCCAGGCAAGGTGCAGGGAGACGTGAGCCATGCCCAGCCTGCAGCATGGCACACATCTCCTGCCCTCCCCAGGGCACAGCAGACGTCTCCATCCAGCTGATCCCTCCTCCCTGGCATCCTGCAGCTGAGACGCTAGGCGAGCCCAGGCGGGCCTTCCCCCAGGACCAGCCCAGACTTGAGCGTCAGGGCCGTGCACAAGCAGGAGTAAACGGCAAGCAAGTGTGAGTGGGACGAGCCAACACCGCGCACGCCAGGCTCGCAGGGACGGGCTGTGGACCACACCAGGGATGCCCGCCGGAAGAGGTACTGCTCCCACTCCTTGCCCCCCTCTCTCTTTTCCCAGCCGTGCAGTTGAAGCCGGGATGCATGTGGTGGGGAAAGGAGTTCAGACCCTCCTGTGCTCTGGCCCAGCAGGAGCAAACCCCATTCCACAGCCCTGGGGTGGGCAGCTGGCCATGGGCAGCCTCTGTGCATGGATGTGCCAGAAGCAGAGCCTGGCAATATGTGGCTGTGCCTGCGCAGGGGGGATCTCATGCCCGGGCTCCCCAGCATGGTGATGCATGGGTGGGCACCAGGAGCTACTTCGTGGCTACTTCTTGGCTCCGTGAGTGTAGCGTCTGGGCACCTTTACTGTCAGCCTGTGCTGGCACTGCATCCCAGGGTGGGAGCAGAACCCCGTGGAGCTCTGCAGGCTGTTGGCGATGGAGTGGGGGGGTTTGGGGGGGGTCAACCATGTGCTGTCTTAGCACTGCTTGCAGTAGGTGTGGGACAGGCGCTCTCCAGGCTGCTATCAGCCCTCCCCACCTGGTGCCTCTTGCCCCGGTCAGGGGAAAGGGAGTCCTGAGCCTGCTCAGCCCCAGGGGCGGCACCCACACCCCGGGGGGCCAGAGCAGGTCTGCCCGGCTCTGCCGGCTTTGGGCGTGCTCTGAGTCACCCGCAGCCCTGCTCTTCCCAGGTCTGCAGGCGCCTGGTTCGCACCCGCAGGCATCCTGGGCTCTGCTGCCAGGTCTCATACGTCACTGGCAGCCAGCGGGGGGAGCGCAGAGCATCACCCAAACAGGGGAGTCACTCCCGCGCCTCCCAACCGTCCAGCAGCATGGCAGTGCGGCTGTGCCTGCCCTGGGCACAGCTCTGCCCTGCAAGGAGGGGTGACGTCCACCACCGCCTGCCTGCGCTCCCCTCTCTGCAAAATGGGAAGAGCTCCAAGGTTTGAAAGCGCAGGGCAGGAGGCAGGCAGCGGCGCTGGCAGGACTCCACGTGGAAATGATTAAACATTTGCAAAGGGTTGAAG